GTGATGGGACCAGATGCCATGATCTTAGTTTTCTGAATGTTTATCTTTAAGCCAACTTTGTCATTCTCCTCTTTCACTTTCATCAAGAGGCTTTTTAGTTCCTCTTCACTTTCTGCCATAAGGATGGTGTCATCTGCATATCTGAGGTTATTGATATTCCTCCCATCAGTCTTGATTCCAGCTTGTGCTTCTTCCAGCCCAGGGTTTCTCATGATGTACTCTGCATATAAGTTAAATAAGCAGTGTGACAATATACAGCCTTGACGTATTCCTTTTCCTATTTGGAACCAATCTGTTGGTCCATGTCCAGTTCTAACTGTTGTTTCCTGATCTGCATACGGGTTTCTCAAGAGGCAGGTCAGGTGGTCTGGTATTTCCATCTCTTTCAGAATTTTCCACAGTTTATTGTGATCCACACAGTCAAAGGCTTTGGTGTAGTCAATAAAGCAGAAATAGATGTTTTTCTGGAACTATAAATTGTACTCTATTTCAATTACCAAATTTTCCTTGGCAGTATATAGAGATACAACTGCTATTTACATAAATATCTGTAGGCAAGGAGATCCAACCAGTCTATCCTAAAGGAAATCAGTCTTGAAAATTCACTGGAAGGACTGATGCTGAAGCTGAAACTCCAATACCCTGGCCACCTGATGCAAATAACTGACTCATTTGAAAAGACCCAGATGCTTGGAAAGACTAAAGGCAGGATGAGAAGGGGACGACAGAGGATGAAATGGTTGGATGGCATCACTGACTTGATGGACATGAGTATGAGTAAGCTCTGGGAGTTGGTGATGGACAGGGAGGCCTGGCATACTGCAGTCCATGGGGTAGCAAAGATTCAGACACAACTGAGCAACTGAATTGAACAGAACTGAACTGAACTGTATGCATACCTGCACACTACAAATTCTAGGAGTTTTTATGTAGATTACATGGAATCTTCTTTCTAAACATACAGTATGTGAATAGACATAGTTTGATTTTTCTCCTTTCCACACTACATAAACTACATGCCTTTTTTTTTCTCTTGACCTGCTATTTTTGCTGAGGTAGACAAAAATGATGAGAGGCAATATTCACGCCTTGTTCCATGTTTTAAAAGTAAGTATTCAATCTTTAAGTATGATGCTAGTTGTAGATTTTTTGTAAATTCTCTGTATCAACTTAAGGACATTATTTTCTACTTCTAAATTGTTGAGAATTTTAATAATAAACAGATGTCAAATTTTGTCTAATGCTTTTCTGCACCTATGAGATGATTCTGTGGTTTTTCTTCTTTGGTCAATTAGTATGGTACATTTTAATAATGAAAGGTTATCAAATGTGGAACAATCTTGCATTTCTGGGATAAACTCTACTTTGTCAAAATCCTTTATTACATGCTGCTGCACTGAATTAGCTAATATTTTGCTGTTTTGAATGTGCTCCTGGGGGATGTTGGTTGTAATTTTCTAATACTGTGTTTGTCTTTTTCTGATATTAGGGTAAAGCTGGTCTGGTTGCATAATGTTCCTTTTTTCTTATTTCTAGGGGAAATACTTTAATAAATGCCCAGTAAAATTTTCCAGTGAAACTATGTGGGCCTTTTCTGTGTTTGTGTGAAGACTTTTAGATACAGTAATTTAATTTCTCTTTAAATTTTGTTAATATAAAATATAACAAATTTTATAATGTAAAATATATTGTTTTTTTTTTTTTTTTTTGGAAGAATTACTCTCTGTAACTCAAGGAAATAGTCTGTAGGGTCTTTAGTAATATCCACTTTTTCATTCAGGATATTGAAATTTTGTATCCTTTCTCTTTTTTTCTTGGTCAGTCTAGCTAGAACTTCTCAAAGAAACCATTATGGTGTCACTGGTTTTCCCTTTTCCATTTCACTGATTTATCTTCCTTCTTTTGCTATCATGACCATCTATTACTATTTCCTTCACTGCCCTTGCTTTAGTTTTATTTTCTATTTCTTCAAGTTTCTTAAAAGCTGAAGCTTAGATCACTGTGTCAGGAAGATATGTTGTTTAGCTTCCAAATGATTGGGTATTTTCCAGTTATCATTCATATACTAATTTCAAGTTTAATTCCATTATGATAAGAAATTAAAGTTTGTTTTATGTCTCAGAACAACCTATCTTGCTAAGTGTTCCATGTACACCTGAACATTTGGTGTATTCTATCAGTGTAAATTAAGCTAATGGATAGTGTTATTGGATCTTTAACATCCTCACTTGTTTGCCTACTTTTGTGTTCTATTATTGAGTAGAAGTTAACATCTCCAAGCATAAATATGGATATTTTTTTCAGTTATATAAGCTCCCTAAATTTTAGCCCTATTTTTTTAGGTTCATACAAATTTAGGATTGTTATGACTTCTTGGTGAATCAACCTCTTTTACCATAATGTCCCATTTTGACCTTAGTATTTCCCTTATTCTGAAGCCAACTTTCTCTGGTATTAATATCACTACTTCAGCTTTGCTTTGATTGATGTATGCATAATATATACTTTTCTATCTACTTTCACAGTCAATATAGTTATAAAATGACTCTGTTTTGGATAATAACTGGGGTTCAGTTTTGGGTTTTTTTATTCCTATCTCAAACTTTTAATTAGTGTTTATAGATCGTTCACATTTAGTGTAACTTGTGGGAAAGGTTGGATTTACATCTACCATTTTGCTACTTTTTATTATTTTTCTGATGGTACCATGTATTTTTTTCCCCTTGATTTTTAAAAAATTTTTACTTGCTATTGGTTGATTAACCAATTGCTATAGTTGATTAACAATGCTATGTTAGTTTGAAGTGTACAGCAAAGTGATTCAGTTATACTTATACATGGATCTACTCTTTTTCAAGTCCTTTTCCCATTTAGGATTTTACAGAATATTGAATACAGTTCTCTGTGTAATACAGTAGGTCTTTATTGGTTATTTCTTTTAAATTTCACCCTTGTTTTTACTTTTGCTTATTTATCTGCTCTTGCTTCCTTCCCTTTTTTAGATAATTTCACTATTTTTAATATCAAATTTTAATTCATCTACTCGTTGTACTGGTTGCTCCAGAAATTAAAATACACATATTAAAATGTTTGTGTGTTTGTTAATATTTTATCCAGAATATATTTGCTTTCTGTGAGAAAGAGAAGCAAAATCCTATTTTGTAATTCTTAAAATATCTTTGTTGAAAGAGTATCAAGCACCCATTGAAAGAGAAAGTGGGCATTTATATGGGAAGATGAAGTGTATATGAGTTTTCTATTCATTGGCTAACATATGGTACAGCTCCAGTCATTATATTTGATTAAAAAACAGGATATTAGATGCCAGTATCTTGGCTATTTCCAAGAGAATACATTTTAGATGATGAACCGTGGCATTTATTGAGATCTATAACAATTTATTTAACATTGCCACCCACTCTGTGCATAGCTATCAGCATGAGGTCAATAAATACTGTTGTTACTCATACAATAAATTTCAAAGACTGGACATGTTCTTTTTTTGTGGACAATATTTCTTGACTCCTATTTTTTGCTTAGTTATATTAAGTCTGAATTATCACAATTCTACTACTATGTTTTGATTCTACATTCCCACAACAAAATTATTTTTGCACATGAAGAACAATTCAGTGGAAACCTAATTATGACAGGAAATGTGATGCATTTGTATTTATAGCACAAATAGATTACTCATTCCCGAACATAAACTTTACTTTCTTTTATTAGCGTATCAATGATTTACTCATAATTAGCATTCA